CTACAAACAATACCTCATAATGACAACATGAAAAAAGTATTTAAAAGTTTAAATCTTTGAAAATTTATTAAAACGTAAAAAAACACAGTCACAATCCCAGTACATTAGTATTGGCAGCCTTAGCCTCGACACTCGGGCGTGAGCTCCGGCTAGCTGATCCTCTGGTGGAGTCCGTCTCCTCATCCGTACAGTCTCACAGCATCTCTCCAGAGAACAGGAGATTACAGTCACAGAGAGGGTTCTACAGCAGATCTACAATAGAGTTATTGTCCAGATAAAGTTAGTTTTGATTGATTCACTTCCGTTGTAAAGATCATTAGTGATTAACGAACACCACACCGCTCTACTGAACACAGAAACGCATCACGTGTTCAGCCCATCGGTGTGCGCGTTTGAATATGTATGTGCGCAGGCGTGTGGCCCTTCACAAATCAACCCTCAACAAACTATTTGTCTGGTCTTAAAAATACTGATTTTTTTGTGCTGATGATGCGTGTGCCGATGATGCGTGTGCCGATGATGCGTGTGCCGATGATGCGTGTGATGTCATGGTTGAGGATGGTCCCGTGCCGCTAGTCCACAGGTCTGGGAACGGCACCGGATGCACAGATTGGCATGCTGGGATACGCGTGGGACGGCAGCTTGCGAGTGTGTGATCGACCGCCTCTGCTCTGTTTGTTTGTTTTGGTTGGGTGAGTGTGTGTGTGTGTGTGTGTGTTCGGGGATTTATTCAAGTGTCTTCATGGGTTTCTCTCTGTGACAGTGTCCTGATGGTTTTAATATCCTGACGTGATGTCACTTCCTCTGTGTGATGAGTTGAGCTGAATCAGCTGATCTTAATCCTCAAGTGTGTGTGTCTCATGCTAACGTGACCTTTGCTGATGAATGCTAGTGCATCAGTGCTGTTATAATCCTGGAGTGTGTGTGTGAGAGAGAGAGTGTGTGAGTGCGTGTGTGTGTGTGTGTGTGTGTGTGTGTGTGAGTGTGTGACAGAAAAGCAGATGGAATTGGCCGATGAGGATGAAAGCACTGCATCATGGGAGTGTTTCTTACTCATCAGTGCAGTGGTTTTGAAGGCTCTCGCTGTGATTGGTCGCTCAGAGCTCATCTTCTTCTAAACTGCCGCCTCTCCACGACAGCCGTGACGTTCAACAGGAAGTGAATCCTACAGTGAAAATGTTTTAAATGGAAGTTTGAATCACATCTTTGATTTATCTTTCATGTAACGGAAGCGCTAGTTCAGTGCTATCTTCGCTGCTAGCCTTCAGAACGTCTGTGTGCGTGATGTGCAGAGGGATTGTGGGATATCTTCTGTTAGTCGCGAGTGTCACCCAGTCCTCCAACAGAAGCCAGTCGCCCCAAACATCCGGTGTTCCCAGTTCCCGTGTGTACAGCCAGATAATGTGTTTCCGAGATAATCTGCTGATGTGTGTGTGTGTGTGTGTGTGTGTGACTCAGATCTGATCCGGTCTCGTCTAAATATAAACCCAGATCGTCAGCGTCTCTCGGGCGGGATCTGACCCAGACTGCAGGATCTCTCGAGGTCGCTGGTTTGCTGTGTGTGGTTTAAAGGGACTCCAGACCGACGCGCTGATGAACGCCTGCGCCGCGGAGCGCTACACTCGCACAGGCCAGACAGAAGTGCAGCCGACTGACAGCTAGCGTGTGTGTGTTCTGTGTGTGTGTTCTGCGTGTGTGAATTTCTACAGATATATTGGTCGACACACAAGCGTGCACACACACACACACACACACACACACACACACGGTGACGGTCAGCTTGGTGTGTCGTGGGATTAACGTTGTTCACACACACACATGAATTTTTAAGGCAAGACTTTTTAAGTACTTTGTTGAAGTCAATCTGTAAAGAAAGACACACGCCTGCACACATATACAGTATATTATATATGAATATATATGTTCAAATGCGTGTATCTATAGTCTGAACGCATGTGTGTCGGTGTTTTCACAGATTCACGTTTTCAGGAGCTCAAACACTGCTGTGTGCGGATGAACGTCCAGAACACACACTATAGTTTCTGTGTTCAGTAGAGCGGTGTGGTGTTCGTTAATCACTAATGATCTTTACAACGGAAGTGAATCAATCAAAACTAACTTTATCTGGACAATAACTCTATTGTAGATCTGCTGTAGAACCCTCTCTGTGACTGTAATCTGCTGTTATCTGGAGAGATGCTGTGAGACTGTACGGATGAGGAGACGGACTAGAGGAGACTCGGTTCTGACGGCTGAACCGGACCGTAACGAGTCGAGAAGAGCCAGCCGAGCTGCTTAGGGTCAGCTCTTGTGACCTGTTTTTGACTCAGATGTGACGGGTGTGTGGTGTTCATATTCACAGTCGAGCCGCTCCGGAGTGTGTTGGATTCAGTGAAGGTGTGTGTCGGTCTGCTTGATTCAGACGTGGCGCTCACACACACACACTAACATGAAGCGCACTAACAGAGTGATAATGTGTTAACACACCTTCACACTGATGTTCACCATCAACAAACAACTCTGTGTCAGCGAGAACCATGATGCATCTGTGCGTGTGTGTGTGTGCAGATAAGACTCTCCACAGGAAGTCATAGCACACAACGAGTTCCTGAACGTCTGTGTGTGTGTGAGAGAGAGTGTGTGTGTGTGTGTGTGTGTGTGTGTGTGTGTGTGTGTGAGATCGTGCTGTGAAGGAAGTTTTGTAGTTTGTGTGCAGAAACAGTGTCTCTCGGACGGGGGTTTCATTTCTTCATTAGTGACCTTTTAAGAAGGTGAGGCTCGGGCTAATGAGGTGATTGTAGGCAGAGAAGCTTTAGAAGATTCCAGCCGACATTCCCAGCGGTGTTACGACCAACAGCGAGTGTGTTTTCATAGGGGGAGTGTGTGTGTGTGTGTGTGTGAGGGAAGGGGGAGGAGCCTCCTCAATGATACTCGGCTGATCATGTAACACAAATGAGCCGCAAACACCAGGAAACCCCATAAACTCACCAAACACTTCCACACTGTGTGTGTGTGTGTGTGTGTGTGTGTGTGTGTGTGTGTGTGTGTGTGAGCCGCTATCAGCCTTCATCTTCCGCTGCTGTCGACTGTGATCATTCACTGGTTTCTGCTACTGAACGGCTCTTTGTGTTGCTGCTGTGATTGAACTTTTGATATTAATATCTCAATAGCTTTTATTGAGTTTAATACACTGACACAAATTTGCCTGAAACAGGCTTGGAAACAGTTGTACATGTACATTTATCACACGCTTTTATCAAAAGTGACGTAAAATTGAGCAGTGCAACGAGAGATTCCTCCTAAAGAGGTAATAAACACGAGAAGCGCCAGTAATGCGAAGTCTCATACATCTCCACTCAGAAGAAGGTAGTAAATAATTAAAAACACTAACGCTAACCCTAACCCTAACGCTAACCCTAACGCTAACCCTAATGCTAACCCTAACTCTAACCCTAACCTAACGCGTTAAAATAAATGTGAAAGACTGAAATAGTGTTTTCTTGTAAAACGTCCTCCAATGAACTTTAAGTGCAACTTTGAAACATGATGTTTGTACAGCGCGTCGTATATCCGAGGTCTTCGCTCTTCTAACGCCGGTGAACTTCTGTTAATGCGCCAGAAAGACATTCATGAGGGAACTTTGATTTCTGTCTTTGAGGCGCTTTATGGATGATGTCTACATCGAGGGCCAGATCTACTAAATTAGCGTCAGACAGAAAAACCCCTATATATAAGTGTGGAGGGGATGAAGAGTTGATGATGATGATGATGAAGACTCGTTCCATCAGGATCCGCTCGAGCTCGCACTGGGACGCTTTACTGGGCGTCGAACACTGGTCACCTTCACAATGATGCTTTTTTTGCATTTATTTTAAGGTGTCTTTCAAATCACTCAAAGTACATCCAGAAGTAGCAACAATAACAATATACACATAAAAATAACAGTAAATAACAATGGCTATACACAATAAACGATAAATAAGGGGAGAGCAAAAAATGTGATTAATGTGAAGGCTCCTCCTGTAAGATGAGCGTCTAACAGGGAAACTCCTTTAAGAGCTTCTGCAGAAATAACTGTGTGTGTGTGTGTGTGTGTGTGTCCGGTTAGCTGAGTCTGGCTCGGATCTCTCTCTCTCTCTCTCTCTCTGTGCTGTGTGATGCGGGGTTCATAGGGCAGGTTTCATTAACTCTGAGCGGGCCGCGGGCCGCTGAAGGTAAATAAACAGGAGCGTGTGTACGCTAATGTAACGTGGCTCTGATAAAGGCCTGGCTTAATCCGGGCCGTGACCTCCCGGTGGGTCGGGGGGGGATGATGAGATGATGATGAGATGATGATGAGATCCACAGCTGGTGTGTGTGTGTGTGTGTGTGATAGAGACAGTGTGTGTGTGTGTGTGACCCGAACCGGCCTGGTCCCTCTTGCTTAGGCAGCATCAGGAGTTTAAAAGCCCGAACCCGTCCTGCACTCCGGAGCCGAGGACCGGGACGGGTCACCGTGAGGATGATGATGATGTTTAGTGTTCGTGCAGGTGTGTGTGCAGGAAGCTGTGTGTGTGTGTGTGTGAGATACTGCAGTGTTTCCTGTGTGTGTTTGTCCTGATAACTCTCTCAGCTTCCTCTGTAACACGGAGAGAGAGAAGGGCTGTGTGTGTTTCTGCTTCTTTAACATCTCGGTGGGAAACTGAAAGGGTTTAAGGGATAGTTCAGCCAAAAAACGAAAATGAACCCATTACATTCTTCTTTCAGACAAATACAAATACAATACAATACAATATATAAAATGTCCTGGCTCTTCCCAGCTTTATAATGGAGTCCATAAAGTGCATTTATGCATCATAAAAGTGCATCTATCCATTATAAAAGTGCATTTATGCATTATAAAAGTGCATCTGTCCATCATAAAAGTGCATTTATGCATTATGAAAGTGGTGGTCACGTGTTTTCTAACCCTTGATGAAGCATGATGGGATTGATGTGCTGATGATGCTCTTGTGTTTCAGTCCGTGTCCGGAGCAGGGGATGGGGGACGAGTTCAACCTCATGGACCATTCAGACCTGTACATCCTGGACTTCAGTGAGTGTGTGTGTGTGTGTGTGTGTGTTCCAGTGCTGAAGATTAACCCTCGCTGTACTTCATGTAAAAATAACAACAGCTTGAAATATGATAAATGATGCGAGTCATGCAGTGTTTACGGTGTGTAACAATAGATTGATCAAACAAAACCATAAACAAGGGCAAAAACAATATTTTTCAGAGGCACCTTTATTTCTAGGCTCTACGTCCGTCTGCACATTACTGCCAAAGCGTACATTTCTCAAAAACTGTCCAATAACACATTTTAACAGCTTTATTTTGTAACCTACTTTATTTTTCCTAAATTAATGCATTTTTCTAATTTTACACTATTATAATATTCATTTTATTATTTATAGAGCACATTTAATGCAACAGCTGTTGCCCAAAGTGCTTCACAATCACTAAAACCACTAAATTCAGATTACAGAGAGAGAGAGAAATGATTAAATTATGGATCGATATATCCTTGAATCTAGTCTAATGTAATTGTATTGCAGAATTGTTTGAGGTATTGGTCAGTATCACATCTCTAGCTAAGAGAATCGATATCAGATCATAGCATGACGAAGCGTCTGATTAACACAGTCGCTGTCTCTCTCTCTCTCTCTCTCTCTCTCTCACACACACACGCGCGGTTCGGTGCATCCGGCACCAAATAAAGGCTCTTCCGTTGGCAGTCTTCGGATCAGCTCCACAGGAACAGGTGAAATAGAGGGAAGCGCTGACTCTCCTGCCGCGACACACACACACACACACACACACACACACACACACACACACACGTACGGCTGTCCTGAAGAGCTTCTGCTCACGTGGAATCTACTATACTTGATCATTATGATGCGAACCGCACACCGAGAGCGCATCAGTGTGTGCTGTACAGAAGACCACACCTCATTACTGAACATTCAGTGTCTAACAAACCCTATTCAAATTAATTACCCTCCCTATTAAAAAGATATTATTTTTAGGTCGAAGTATAATATATGTAGAAGTTTTTTATTGGCATTTATAGAATCTGTCATTGCACAAAAGGTTCTTCACAGGAAGAATAACGTGGTTCTTTAAGATCTGATCACGGAAAGGTTCTTTATGGCATCAGAAACGGTTATTTTCTGGATTCTGTGTGAAACCCCTTTTGAAGCTTTATTTTATTTTTAAGAGCAAACGCTTGTAATGCATTACTGAGTTTCTTGCTTTGTTTTTTAGGTCCTAATCTGAAGACTTTATGCAAGTTAGCGGTTATTCAGTACAGTCTGGATCAGTCTGGACTCCCTCATGACATCAGGTGAGAGTCACACACACACACACACACACACATACTCTCTCTCTCTCACACACACACACACATAATTTCTCTCTCTCTCTCACACACACACTCTCACGCACACACGCATAATTTCTCTCTCTCTCTCTCTCTCTCTCTCTCTCTCTCTCTCTCTCTCTCAATTCAATTCAATTCAAAAATTGCTTTATTGGCATGACTGTACATCATACAATATTGCCAAAGCTTGGAATACATAGAATAATTATAAAGACATCAACATAGTAAAATAATATAGCATTTTAAATTGATTGTACAAATTAACAGTGTAAAATAAATAAAATGGAACAGTTTATGAACATTTAAAAAAAAAAAAAAAAATTCTGTGAAGAATTTAGAAAAACAATGCGTATGAGTGTGTGGTGTACAGGGGTGTGTGTGTGTGTGTGTTGGTGTCTCTCTCTCTCTCTCTCTCTCTCTCTCTCTCTCACACACACACACACACACACACACTGAATGAGTGTGAAACCAGAGTCAGCGATAACAATCTGCACCTCAACCCTTGACCCTCATCAGCTCTGGGCTCTTGTCAGCAGATCATTGCTTTACTGATCAGGTTACACACACACACACACACACTTGCACACACACACACACACACACACACACTCACACAATCGTCATGGAGGGAGAGTGTAAAGACACCTTAATTCTCCATAGCCGCAACAAAGCACAATAAATCAGCCAATTAGTAAAACGAATTATCGCTCTCACCAAAGACAAAATACATTGTGCACGTCGAGTCCAAACACCAGCAGCTGAACACACACACACACACACACACACACACTGATACATCAAACTTCCTTATTTTCAATTTTGTAATATTCTTCCGTTTATATTGTCTGTGCTCCTGTGAGATGAATCTGACCATAAATATTGTTTATCATTTTGTTGTAAATACTGTTTCTTTGTTGTTAAAACTATGAAACTGTTTCAGTAGTCAGTAGTTTTAATAGTTCACTAGTTCTACATTTACATTTATTCATTTAGCAGAGGCTTTTATCCAATCGACTTACAACAATAGAAGCAGTAGGACAACAATATGCGAGTGCTATGACCCTTCCCAGTTTAGTCTAACGCAATATATATATATATATATAATAGATATAGAATATAAGAGAAAGTGTTAGTATTTATGGATTGAGTGTTGCTGAGAAAGATCAGCTGTTTCTTGAGAATGGCCACGGACTCAACCGCTCTGGTGGAGCTGGGCAGATCATTCCTCCAGCAGGACCAGTTAACCCTAACCCTAACCCTAACCCAGGCCAGGTGATGGTCCGAGAAGGAGATTATGTGCCTCTTTGAGATGGGAAGTTTCTGGATGGCACGTAGAGAGGAGGAGCAGAGCCAGTGGTGGTTCTGTAGGCAAACGTCACCGGCTTGAATTTGATGCGAGCGGCTGCTGGCAACCAGTGCCGGTTTATGAGGAGAGGAGTGACGTGCGTCTCTTCGGCTCGATAAACACACTCTAGAGGCAGCATCTGGATCAGTCGCAGAGGTTTGACAGATGCTGGAAGGAGAGAGCATTACTATAGTCCAGTCTGGATACACAAGAGAATGGAGAAGGAGTTGTGTAGCTCCGATAGGAAGGGCCTGATCCTCCTAATGTCGTATAAGACAATTCTCTACAGGACCGGGCAGTTTCTAGTAATGTGAAGTTCAGCCCATCATCAATCACAACTCCAAGAATCCTGGCTGACCTTGATGGAGTTATGGATGACGAGCCTTCAGCTGAGTGGAGAAGTTGTGGTGTAGTGTTGGGCTGTCCGAGACCAACAGCAGTTCTGTCTTCGTAAGGTGGAGGTCCTTCATCCAGCCAGAGATGTCTCAGGCGGAGATGCGACCGGCTCCCGTCGATCATCTGGCTGGAATAAGAGCTAGAGTTGTGAGTCAGCATAGCAGTGATAGGAAACCCATGTTTCTGAGTGACAGATCCTGGTGATCACATGTAGATTGAGAAGAGAAGCGGTCCCAGCACTGAGCCCTGAGGCACTCCAGCAGCTAGATCAGGGATGGGCAACTTCAGTCCTGGAGGGCCACTGTCCTTCAGAGTTTAGTTTCAACCCTAATCAAACACAAGCTAATCAAGGTCTTCAGGATTACTAGAAAGTTACAGGCAGGTGATTTTTTTTCAGGGTTGGAGCTAAACTCTGTAGGGCAGTGACCCTTCAGGGCCGATGTTGCCCATCCCTGATCTAGATGATAGCAGTGATGGGATAAAGCATGTTTCTGAGTGACAGATCCCAGTGATGACATGTAGATGCAGAAGAGAAGCGGTCCCAGCACCGAGCCCTGAGGCACTCCAGCGGGTAGTCAGTTCTGTAGTGAGTGGGCGAACACATCTGTGGGAAGGAGTGTCACACAGATAGAGGACAGTCTGAACTGATACTATAGTCTCTCACTCAATCCCTCTGTCTGAAGAGTAGAAACACAACTCTTTTTTTCCTCCGATTCCTCGGTTCGAATGCACCCTATGATGGCAGTTTTCGTCAAAAAATTTTTTTCAGAAATGTCGAGCTCCTCCGAGACCATTGATCAGATTTTCACAAAAGTCAAATCAGATCATCTTCAGACCTTGGAATCCAAGTTGATTCGTCAAACCGTTCTGGAATAACACGCAAACGAATCTGACGAAGATCACACCAAAGTGGAGTTGGTCATAAAATGCTATACTTTATGAAGACGTTTGTGTTTCATTCTGTTTTCAGCATAATGCCTAAAAAACCCTAAACCGTTATCGTTTAAATTGACTAGTGTTTCTATTTAAGGTTAATCAGGCATTTTGACTTAATTTCTCTGTAATGACGTGTTGTTGCAGTGGCTGTTATGCTGTAATGCTTTATTTATTTCTGCAGTCAGTTTTATTACTTCGGTAGTCTATTAGTTTTACTCTTATCTAACATACAGACGAACAGGCCATAAACAGTAGCAGATGCAGAGATGTGAATGTCTCTGATAATGACTGTCTGAATCCAGAATCTGAACATGTGTGTGTGTGCTGCGGTTTAAGGCCTGTTTCTGAAGGTGTGTGTGTTTAACTGGAACTGTTGTGTGTGTGTGTGTGCGTGTTTAACTGGAGCTGGTGTGTGTAGGAGACGCTCGTCTGATAGTGATGGAGAACACAACTTGTCAAGTGGCGTCTTATCTTAATGAGTCTAACGAGAGCCGGCACACATCCGGCCTCCTGCAGGGACACAAATCCCTTTAGTGTGTGTGTGTGTGTGTGTGTGTGTGTGTTCTCAGGTGGGTGCTGACGGCCATGACCACGAATAGTAACATCATTCGGCCCATATTCTCCTCTAACTGTGTGTGTGTGTGTGTGTCCTCAGGTGGGAGCTGACGGCCATGACCACGAACAGTACCATCAGTCGGCCCATATTCTCGTCTCACGGCTGACCCGTGGCGGCTCCTCCCGTGTGGATCCGGATCCCAGTTCTCCGTCGGTCCTGCTGTGGCGAAGGCCTTTTCCCAGTTTGATTCGCCACTGTTGAACTTCTGCGGAGAAATGGACCTTCACGCTTTTAAACCAGTCCAATTATTCATCAGTGTTACAGTGTTTTATTGAGAATCTGGAGTGAAATGAAGGTCATTTAACCTGTAATCTGTCATTGCTCTGCTTGTGTGTTCAGATTGCTGGTTTATATGCAAGACTTTCGTTACGACCCGCTCATATCAGAGGAGACATCCCTATGTTTTCCCACAGTGCTTCTGACAATAGTCCACAATCAATAGACAGGAGAATATTCCCTCTGCATGCGTGCGTCCCTCAGGATCCGCACCGTAAAAACTCCACAAAGACATGATGTTGTGAAAGATTACATGTTTTCTCATTTACTCAAAGGCAGCGAAAGATGTTTCACTTCAGAGCAAATCGGCACGATCTAATAAACACCTGGAGAAAACGGGGATCAATCTGAATCACAAACCCAGTGTATTTCCACACACACATCCATCAGAATGTGGACGGTTCGATTGCTCGGTGTTGGTGTTGATGGGTATGACGGTGCCAAAGCTGAAGCTCGTGCTTTATTCCCGCGGGACTCTCCGGCGTCTCGTCCAGTGCCTGATGCTCCTCTGGACACTTCCGATCTTCACAAGCTCTCGAGTCCAAGCGCACACGGTTTTAACGGCTTCTACTCGGACCGGATTTGAAATATGTCCTATTTGAGATTTTATTGTGTTTGAATATCTGACGCCAAACTGAATATTGCAACCTGACGAAAACGAGAAGTCCTAAAATCAAATCAAGTGCATTTTCACACTGACGTGTAGCTGACAGACGGGGATCGTGATGGTTTAGTGACGTGCTGCTGCTTTAAAGAGTCATTCGGATCCACGATGGTGTTGCTGACGTGCTAACGGAGAAATGAAGGAGAGCTTGTGTGTTGTGATGGTGTGAGCGCTGCGGTTCCCTCCGGCTGCTGATGTTTGGAAACGACATGATTCCTCAGTGGCGGATGAACCTTTTCCACAAGTCACGACTCGATCAATGTTGTAAACGGGTTTTCAATGGAATCTTTTGAATTTCCTAAACAATAAAGTTGAGGATAATTTTGCTTGTTGTCTGCTTAAATGTACCGGAATAATTCAGGAAGTGTGTCCAAATGTAAAAAGAGCTTTAAGAATTAGTTAAATTTGAGCAATTTTGAGATTAAGAAAACTTGTTTTTTTAAATGAACACTTATATACACACTCAATAATGAAATAAAAAATTTTTTCTCAGATTCACTTTTTTGAAGTTTACTCGGAGATGATCACGTTTTTCATAGTTTTCTCCGCTCGCCCCTTGAATCCTGTTTGAGAGTGTGTGTTCTGGAGCTCAAACACTGCTGTGTGCGGATGAACGTCCAGAACACACACTATAGTTTCTGTGTTCAGTCGAGCGGTGTGGTGTTCGTTAATCACTAATGATCTTTACAACGGAAGTGAATCAATCAAAACTAACTTTATCTGGACAATAACTCTATTGTAGATCTGCTGTAGAACCCTCTCTGTGACTGTAATCTGCTGTTCTCTGGAGAGATGCTGTGCTGTTACAGCGCTGGACAGATGGAGACTTGACTTTATTAATCCACAGTTTCAGTTTTGCAGGATCATTCTGACCGTTTCTCCCAGGACAGACCGATTCCTCCGTCAGATGTCCAGCACAGGCCCGTCATGATCAGGGTAAGGCTCTCAGTGACGTGTCTCTGTCCTCTCGTTCTAAGCGTGATTGATTCGGCCGATCTCTCGGTGGACGTGACCTTAATGGGCTTCTATTGAGCAGGGGTTGTGAAAGCTAAAGGTTAACAGTGTGAGGAACTGTGATCGGACGAAACACACCTGTTGGCCTCCTCGCTTTCACAGGACCCTTAAACTTGTGCTTCAGCTCGACGCTAATGGCCACGGGTCGTCTGAGCTCAATCTCTCTCTGGGGACGAGCTTCTCCAGACCCAAACACAGCATTAAACTCATGTCGTGTCAGTAAAGCTGATGTCGTGTCATGAGCTCGGCTTGTTTTGACCTGAGCGCTCGATGGAGGCCAACGCTCTTCAGAGACAACGACTGACGGATCATTACTCTGGTAGGATCACTCAATCGTTCCATGTATCGTGGCATAGAGATCTGCTTTTCTTTCATTCGAGATTCGTCTAACCCTAAATGAAAAGGAACTTGTTATAATTGAGACGTTGACACACATGTAGATGAATATCTGATAAACCCAGAGCTCGATCGGTGCCCACTAAACAACTGCAAGACGTCTTCTGCTAATCTCACACACACACACACACACACACACACTTCTGCACAGATTTATCCTCTGATTGAGTCAGTCTGCAGAAAATCAGCTGGTGTTTGATGGACTCCGACTCTATTAAACTTCAGTCTGTGATTGCATCCGGTCAGACGCCTGATATTCTGATTTTAGAAGAGTTTGACGTGAAAGTGTGTGAAACTGCTAGTGTGGGATGGCCTGTTTTAATCTCTAAACATTGACAATGTTGTCAGTTCTGCTCTGATTTCTTTAGTGCACTCCAGTCTTAAATCACACTACACACACCTTGTGAATCTTTACATGATGCGTGAAAGCTTTTCAAACCTGATGAAATGCATGAAATATTGTTTTAGATAACAGTCAGAGAGGAATAACTAACACTAACTATTAATGATCTGTGTGTGTGTGTGTTTGTTGTGATGATGTCACTGGTTATTTTTACACATTCGGGCTATTATTATCTGGTCACTCCTCGTGTCGTCACGGCTGAGTGTGTCTGGCTCAGGTCTCAGGTTGAGCTCGAGACTATATAAACACGAAAGACTCGCGGATCACACACACACTCTCTCTCACACACACACTCAGCGGTCAGAGGTGAGGCAAGCTCCACACCGCTCAACTAACTCTAACTCTATGTATACTAACACTGACCTGTCCTCGGGTTTGCATGTTATAGACGTTTTCTTCAACATCAATGAAACCCTTTCCCTGTTTTTCACATGGGCTTTTTGCTCCAGATCTCAGTGAGGATGAGCGTCGCGAGCGTCAGACGGAGCCAACGCGCGTCGAAACGCTTCAGGTCAGTCTCGTGCACGCGCGCCGTTATGATGCGTTCATATTTACATCTTGATTAAATTAATTGTGCTGCTATAATGACGTCATTTGTTAGTTTCCTAGCTAACAAGAATCTTTTCTAGGAAAGTTTGTGAGTCTGAATTTCTGAATGTTTTGAATGAATGCGTTTTCTTGGTTATGTGAACTTTAGAGAAAACAATAACGGGATGTTCAGTTTGATCATTAACATTATGGGAGCGTAACTTTTGAATGTTCTCTTTAACAAGTGAAACATTAGATGGACATCGATCTGAGTTTCAGAAAACCATGAACGACGTCTTACTAATGTGTGTGTGTGTGTGTGTGTGTGTGTGTGTGTGAGAGAACATTAGTTCTGTTAACTGGAAGAACGTTCATAACATTGAAAGAACCTTGACACACATGTTCCTGTTCGCTGGGTGAGTGTTTGTTGTACTGACAACTGAGTGAGCTTTAGGTGTGTGTGTGTGTGTGTGTGTGTGTGTGTGTGTGAGAGAGAGAGAGAGAGAGAGAGAGAGAGAGAGAGAGAGAGAGAGAGAGAGCGTGTGTGTGTGTGTTTGAGAGAGAGATAAATAGTCTTGTTTTCTCTTTGAATAAAGTTTATATTTTTGATTTCATTGGTAGATATTTGTTCTTGTTTTAAGCACAAACTTTATTTTTAGTGTGTGTGTGTGTGCGTGTGAGAGAGAGAAAGAGAGATAGAAAGTGTGTGTGTGTGTGTGTGTTTGAGATAGAGAGAAAGTGTGTGTGTGTGAGAGAGAGAGAGAGAGAGAGAGAGAGAGAAAGTGTGTGTGTGTTTGAGATAGAGAGAAAGTGTGTGTGTGTGTGTGAGAGAGAGAGAGAGAGAGAGAGAGAGAGAGAGAGAGAGAGAGAGAGAGAGAGAGTGTGTCATAATTGATGTCCTGGACTCTTCTGAGGCTCTGCTTTAGACACTGTTGGTTGCAGATGTTGTCTGACCTTGTGTGTGTGTGTGTGTGTGTGTGTGTGTGTTCTGCTGCAGGTCCACTAAAGGAGCGTCCAAAGCGCGTCGGGATCTGATCAACGCTGAGATTCGGAGCCTTCGGGAGCTTCTTCCCATCGGATCCGAGGATCAGGAGCGTCTGTCGTACCTGCACTCCATGGCCCTCATCTGCACCTTCATCAGGAAGAGTGTTCTGCTCACAGGTACGCACACACACACACACACACACACACACACACACACACACACACACACATCCTTCGTCTCAGATCTGAGTCTGGATCTCTGCTTGCTCCAGGTGTTGGTCCAGGTGTTGCTGAGGACTTCAGTGGAGTGTCTGCTCTGAGCGAGATCTTTCTTCAAGCCCTGCCTGGATTTATGGTGGCGTTGACCGAAGACGGGAAACTCCTGTATGTGTCGGAGAACGTGGAAGAACATCTCGGCCTGTCCATGGTGAGTTTCTGCTGTTTCATGTGCAGCTGATAATCTGAAATAGTCTCATATTGATGAAGTTTGCATGTGTTTATGACTGTGGATCTGCTGTGTGTGTGTGGATCTGCTGTGTGTGTGTGTGGATCTGCTGTGTGTGTGTGTGTGGATCTGCTGTGTGTGTGTGTGGATCTGCTGTGTGTGTGTGTGGATCTGCTGTGTGTGTGTGTGTGGATCTGCTGTGTGTGTGTGTGGATCTGCTGTGTGTGTGATCTGCTGTGTGTGTGTGTGTGTGATCTGCTGTGTGTGTGTGTGGATCTGCCGTGTGTGTGTGTGTGTGGATCTGCTGTGTGTGTGTGTGGATCTGCCGTGTGTGTGTGTGGATCTGCCGTGTGTGTGTGTGGATCTGCTGTGTGTGTGTGTGGATCTGCCGTGTGTGTGTGTGGATCTGCTGTGTGTGTGTGTGTCTGCCGTGTGTGTGTGATCTGCCGTGTGTGTGTGTGGATCTGCTGTGTGTGTGTGTGTGTGTGTGTGTGGATCTGCTGTGTGTGTGTGGATCTGCTGTGTGTGTGTGGATCTGTGTGTGTGTGTGGATCTGCTGTGTGTGTGTGTGTGGATCTGCTGTGTGTGTGTGTGTGATCTGCCGTGTGTGTGTGTGGATCTGCTGTGTGTGTGTGTGTCTGCTGTGTGTGTGTGTGGATCTGCCGTGTGTGTGTGTGTGTGGATCTGCTGTGTGTGTGTGTGTGTGTGTGTGTGTGTGTGTGATCTGCTGTGTGTGTGTGTCTGCCGTGTGTGTGTGTGGATCTGCCGTGTGTGTGTGTGGATCTGCTGTGTGTGTGTGTGTGGATCTGCCGTGTGTGTGAAGCGGACTCGACTCACTGCCGATGCTCCACCGCAGCTCTACACAGGAGATTACAGGAACACAGATACTCCAGAACTCTAGAACTCGTTATTGTCCGGCTGAAGTTGGATCGGATGGATTCGCTTCCGTTGTTTAGATGGTTATCTCTCCTGTGTTTGTTGAGTGTGTTCAAGCGTTGTGTGTTTCACAGGTGGACGTGCTTCAGGGAGACTCGTTCTACGATATGATGGACAGTCGAGATGCAGAAGCGCTGAAGCTGGCTCTGAGAGATCCGGACGACCCCACAGGTGTGTGTGTGTGTGTGTACCTGTGAGCAGAACACTCTTCCTGGTGAAGGTGCAGATGAGGGCCATGGAGTGCATGTGTGTGTGTGTGTGTCGGATCCCAGCGTTCTCCTGCATGTGTGTGTCCGGATCCAGATCTGATGTGCTGTGTGTGTGTGTGTGTGTGTGTCAGAGAGGAGTCTGGTGTGTCGAATGCGCTCCTCCAAGGCCTTCCGGCTCCGGCACGGCTGCGGCTCGACTCTGGTGAAGGGACGGTTCCTGAACTCCTGTGTGTTCGTGGCTCTCTGTTCGCCCACCGCCGACAGACTGCAGGATCTCCACACACTCCACACACTCCACCGGCCCGACATGAGCCTCGCTCACGCCCCCTACAGGTACATCACACACACCTCCTCTTCCTCCTCAGGGTTTCCCAGCACAAACGTTCTTAAATCAAGACACACTTACTGCAGAAGAAGCAGAACTGCTGAACATATTGAGTCTTGTTTACTGAAAAATGAGTTAAACAAGAACAAATATCTGTCAGTGCATTAAAGAAAGTTCATTTTTCGGATCATTATTCATTAATTATTCATTAATTATTTCCTTATTAAGACTCGAGTGATTTGGTGTGTTGACTGATGGTTTGTGTTTCCGCAGTGTCGTCTTCCACCTGGGTTTCTCAGCGGAGGAGCTGATTGGTCGATCGTGGTACGGCCTCCTGCACCCTGATGACATCACACTCGCGGCCCGCTGCCACACGACCCTCCGTGAGTCACACGAGCAGGACCAAACACACACTTTTACTCTGCTAGGACGCAATATAAATAACATCTATAATGTTACAACAGATTCTGTTTCAGATAAATCTGTTCTTTTCAACATCCATTCATCAAAGAATCCTGAGAAATAAAACGTTTCCACAAAAATATGAAACATCAATAATAATCATAACTGTGTGTTGATCATCAGATCCTCGTTTTAGAGTGATTTGTGAAGGATCATGTGACACTGGAGTAATGATGATAAATCAGTGGAATAATATTTCAGGATTACTGCATTTTTGATCAAATAAATGAACAGAAGAGACTCTTTCACAAACACTAGAGCCGCAGTGATGTCATGATCAGCTGATGTACTGACCCGATCTGGTTCTGCAGTGCGAGAGGAAGGCGACACACACACACAGATGCTGGTCCGCCTGCAGCGCCGGGATCTGTCCTGGGTCTGGGTCTACGCTTGTGCAACTATAGGAGCAGCCAAAGAGTCCATCTCCTGCACGAGCCACATCATCAGGTGAACATCCTCATCTTCATCATCATCTTCACCCTCATCTTCTCCCTCATCTTCATCCTCACCCTCAGTCTTCATCCTCATCTTCATCCTCATCTTCTTCATCCCCTCAACTTCATCATCATCTTCACCCTCATCTTCTCCCTCATCTCATCTTCACCCTCAGTCTTCATCATCATCTTCACCCTCATCTTCTTCATCACCCTCATCTTCATCATCATCTTCACCCTCATCTTCAACCTCAACCTCAACTTCATCTTCATCCTCATTCTCATCTTCATCCTCTCAACTTCATCTTCATCCTCAACTTCATCTTCATCCTCATCTTCATCCTCAACTTCATCATCATCTTCACCCTCATCTTCTTCATCATCCTCATCTTCATCCTCATCTTCATCTTTATCCTCATCTTCATCATCATCTTCACCCTCATCTTCTCCCTCATCTTCTTCATCATCCTCATCTTCATCCTCATCTTCATCTTTATCCTCATCTTCATCATCATCTTCACCCTCATCTTCTCCCTCATCTTCATCTTCACCCTCAGTCTTCATCATCATCGTCACCCTCATCTTCTTCATCACCCTCATCTTCATCCTCATCTTCATCCTCAACTTCATCATCATCTTCACCCTCATCTTCATCCTCAACTTCATCTTCATCCTCAACTTCATCTTCATCATCATCTTCACCCTCATCCTCAACTTCATCTTCATCCTCATTCTCATCTTCATCCTCTCAACTTCATCTTCATCCTCAACTTCATCTTCATCCTCATCTTCATCCTCAACTTCATCATCATCTTCACCCTCATCTTCATCCTCAACTTCATCTTCATCCTCTCAACTTCATCTTCATCCTCAACTTCATCTTCATCCTCAACTTCATCATCATCTTCATCCTCAACTTCATCATCATCTTCACCCTCATCTTCTTCATCACCCTCATCTTCATCCTTATCCTCATCATCATCTTCACCCTCATCTTCTCCCTCATCTTCATCTTCACCCTCAGTCTTCATCATCATCGTCACCCTCATCTTCTTCATCATCCTCATCTTCATTCTCAACTTCATCATCATCTTCACCCTCATCTTCATCCTCAACTTCATCTTTATCATCATCTTCACCCTCATCCTCAACTTCATCTTCATCCTCTCAACTTCATCTTCATCCTCAACTTCATCTTCACCCTCATCTTCATCCTCAACTTCATCTTCATCCTCAACTTCATCTTCATCTTCACCCTCATCTTCATCTTCATCCTCATCTTCATCATCTTCACCCTCATCCTCAACTTCATCTTCATCCTCATCTTCATCCTCATCTTCTCCTGCTTTACTCATGCAGCATTAGTTTGGTTTATTTGTTCTTCATCCTCATCCTCATCTTCATCTTCTCCTGCTTGCTTTACTCACACAGCATTAGTTTAGTTTAGTTAATTGGTATACCAAATTTTAAAACAATGTGAGTTGGCCAATGTTGTCACATGTTTTTAAAAGTTCTTTCCATTAAAACAATATTACAACAGCATATTATAGCCAAAAATACAAAGAATATTATTACACTGTGGAATACTTGATTCTGATTGGTCAATAGTTATTCCCAGATAACAGCAGAAGCTCAGGCTCATCCGGGTCACTGAAGTCAGCAGCGCTGTACACTCGCTCTCTCTTGTTTTATACAAACGCAGCGGCGGCCATTTTGTGTCTATTGTTTTGTCCTCTGTTGGATTATGAGATACAAACAGGTACGATAACAGTTTAATCTGAAATCAATATCTCCATAATTATGTAAGTAATCGACTGCTGTGTAATAAGTGTTATGACAGTATACCGTATCTCTTAAATGTCCGTCTAGTTTGATCTTGCCGCTGAAACGGAAAAATGTGGAAAAAGTGAAGTGCTGTGAATATACTCCTCTGCTAGCTCAGCCATAACCCTGAGCAAGAACTAAATACGTCCTCAACCGTGATTTAGACGCACCCGATGTAGTACAACATCTAATATCTGAATATCCGAGGGCAGGTTCTTCCAGAGGCGGGTGCAGCAGCTGAAAGGCACGACCCCCTGTGGAGTTTAGCTGAGATTAGGGATCTTTAAAAGGGATGTTTGAGATGACCTATATATATATATATATGTGTGTGTGTGTGTAAATAAAAATTATGTACCATCCATAGGATTACAACACTACATAATCCCCCTTCGGACCGGTACTTTAGTCCGCGGTGTAAACGCAGTAAGCAAGCGGTCTGGGGCAAAAAAAGTTCCTATGAAAAAAGTTCCTGGGACAAGAAATAGTTGCTGGTAATTGCGGTGGAAACGCGGCTATAGTTGAGTATCATCTGCATACCAATGATACAAATAAAGCTGAGTGGTACTGACCTGTACAAAGAAAACAATATACCTGTAGGCCGCAGAACTGAGCCCTGTGGAAACCCCACTCGGACTGATTACAGAATCTGAGGATTGAAGAAGCGTCCTGCAGAGCTGTGTGTGTCTCAGTAACTCATGCTCTTCCGTCCGCAGTGAAACAGAGGCCGTCTATCTCAAACACAAGCTGTACGGCAGCACTCCGGTGTCTCCGGGTCCGACGGCAGCAGAGATGCGGATCAAGACCGGGAGCAGCTCGGAGACCGGCTTCTTCCCCACGCCGCCCTACAGCCCCACTTCCTGCCACTCCTCCGACTTCCTGTCTGACGACTTCCTGTCCTCCGGCCTCAGTGCTCTGGAGCAGCTGGTGAGCGACTCGCGCTTCTGCCCGCCAGCGTTCGCTGCGTCTCATCCGTACCCACCTGCCGTGTGTGTGCCGGACTCTCACCTAGTGCCCGTGTGTGTGCTGGACTCTCACCGGGTGCCCGTGTGTGTGCCGGTGCTGGACACGAGCGAGATCCCGGAGCACTTCCTGTTTGGGCCGGATCTGACGCCGGAGTCCTCACCCGCTGCAGACACACACACACACTTCCTCTACGGCCTGCCGGACTCCGGCACACTGGACACACAGACACACTCGCTGGCCCATCAGATCCGCTCGCTGGACACACACTGGCCACTGCTGGACGAGACGGTGATCGACGGGATCCTGCGGGATCTGGATGCAATCAGACCCTCGGGGTGTGTGTGTGACGGCCCCTCGCAGCTCCAGCACTGCCTGTACGCCGCCATACAGTAGATCCGGTCATGTGACGCTTACGGATGAATACACACAACTGAAGTCCGTGACTTACTCTAGTAACCCAGTATGGCATATTGCCATGGTAACCAGTGGCTGGTTTCCGTGGAGATTTGATGAGGTGTTGGTGAGAACAGGTTTCTCGTCATTTCTCAAGAATAATTTATAGCTGCTGTGTTTTATGTGAATTGTTTTAAGTCTTAACATGTACCACTACACCACAAATGATTTGAAACACACAGAGCTAGGGTTAGGTGTCTCACACTCACACACACACACACAGCTGGGGTTAGGTGTCTTGCTCATGGACACCTCCACACTTGGTCAGGTGGAACTGGGATTGAACCACCAATCTTCTGGTTTGTAGATGAACCACTGAGCCACTGCCGCCCCTAAACGACATATCTTGATTTAAGGATGTTTAGATATTGTTCTTGTAAACGGTTCAATAATAAGCTGCACTGAACTGAATCTACCTCATCAAATCACTGTATTTATTTTCTGTACTTCACAGAAATCTCACTCCATGAATGAATTTAAAGTTTCTCTCGCCGTCTTTCAGAATAATCTGTAATGTTTAGAGTTTATTTATATATTCTTGCTTCTTGTTTCTATTTTTGTATGTAATGTCAATAAAGTTAAGAGAAGTAAAACTGTGGTCTGTTTAGTCATAATAAGTGACACAATCCTCACCCTGTTAAGATCCTGTTTAATATATACACTGTGTGTATACACAAAAAATCATGACGTTTATAATATCTTCATGTCTTATAGTTGCATTTGTCAGGTTAGAGCTGGACAATAATAGTTACATTTTCCAACAAAATAAAAACTCCTGTGTGGTCATAGCAGGCAGAGCCTCCATCCCTACATCCCATCCCCACATCCCAATCTCCTCCATCCACACATCCCAATCCCCACATCCCAATCTCCTCCATCTTCACATCCCAATCTCCTCCATCCCCACATCCCAATCCCCTCCATCCCCACATCCCAATCCCCTCCATCCACACATCTCCATCTTCACATCCCAATCTCCTCCATCTTCACATCCCAATCCCCTCCATCCCCACATCCCAATCCCCTCCATCCCCACATCCCAATCCCCTCCATCCACACATCTCCATCCCACATCCCAATCTCCTCCATCTTCACATCCCAATCTCCTCCATCCCCACATCCCAATCCCCTCCATCCCCACATCCCAATCCCTCCATCCACACATCTCCATCTTCACATCCCAATCTCCTCCATCTTCACATCCCAATCCCCTCCATCCCCACATCCCAATCCCCTCCATCCCCACATCCCAATTTTATAAAAATTATATATTTTTATGTTTTATTATACTATAATTATGATCAGTTACTTGTATTTTTTAAATTATTGATCAATGTGTGAATCCGTTGCTACACATAACTAGTCTGGGTTTCCCACAGCACGATTTAATTCACGCTGAAAGGCAGTCTGGATCATAGATGTCTCACGGCGGAGTATTTATCGTCATCATCGGCGGCCATCTTGTCACAGACAGGCTTTCTGGCGGGCTCTGTGCTATCTGATGTAAGAAATACTCTTATCTCGTTGAAATCTTGACGGATTTACAAACGGTTTGGTTTCTTACAAACGTTATTAACGTGGCTATAATTCTGGATGATTATTTATTTATACACTTATTATTCATAAGTATGCAGTATTATAACTACATCTCTGCTGTTTATAACAAACCAGACCGTTTGAAAATTGGAAATCGAAAATTGAGCAAGTTACAGTGATTTAAAAAGTACATGCACCATTTAAACAATGTTACCAGTGAGCGAGCTGCCTGTGACAAGATGGCCGCCAGGTGCTGACCTCGACCTCCATTGGCCAGCAGCACGGACGAGATATCTAGCCTTTATATAGATATCTATGGTCTGGATACCATGGCCAGATTTTTCTCCACATTTAGGGAACCAATCACAGAACGGGGAGGGAGCAGCAAGACGATGACGACGTCTATGCGACCCACCGAAGTAGTTTGTTTATATCTTCAACATGGCAGCAGACGCGAAGCTACCTTTTGATGCAGCCTTCTATTGTTTTAAGTAGTTTAGAATGCAAGTTTATTTTGAAAAAAGAGCCGTTTTTGGCGTTAAACTTCGCGAGAGCCCAGTCGTTATTGTTGTCTCGCCATTAATCGCCCTAATGGAGGACCGGGTACAGGAGGCGGTCAACCTTGGAATATCTGCCGCTCATCTGTGTCCCGAGAAAGAAAATGCAATAAAGAATTCTCGATACCAACTTCTGTTCGGCCGTCCCGAGTCCTGGATGAGCACAAAGTGGCAAGACATGTTAGCCACGGAGTTGTATAGTACAGGGGTTCTCAACTCCAGTCCTCGCGACCCACTGCTCTGCATATTGTGTATGTCTCCCTTATTTAACACACCTGATTTAGATCCTCAACTCGTTAGGATAGACTTGGGATGTGGGGATTAGGATAGTCTATCCTAACGAGTTGAGGATCTGAATCAGGTGTGTTAAATAAGGGAGACATACACAATATGCAGAGCAGTGGGTCGCGAGGACTGGAGTTGAGAATGCCTGGTATAGTACACTACCAACCATCGTCGTCGACGAAGTCTATTTAACGTATAAATGGTAAGTGGTATTTATTAATATCATATTGTCACTACTGTGGTTGTCACAGTGCCACTAAGTTGTTTTTCAATATCAATATACAGCTACCGCTTTAGTAGCATAACTTTCAGCTGTGCACACGTACCCGATTAAAGTTGTCACTTTAGTCATTAAATTACATTTTTTATTTTTTTTAAACTTGTGAAGTACAAGCGCAAACAATTTCCAATAACAACTTCAACATCTATGTTAAACTGTCCTTCATACTTGTGTTTTTCTAATTGGAACGATTGGCTATGAGCTTCATACAGGAGCATTTGATAGACGTTCTTAGCACCCAATAAACGGCGCCGGACATTCGTAAACCACGCCTCAAATACGGAAAATTAACATGTGGTTCCCAGACCCAAGTCTCAATGAGATTTGGGTCGGGCGTTAGCCAGGCTAAAATGACACTAGTTGGGGTCTCATTGGGACAAATTCATGTAGATGAGATTAGATGTATTGACTGTATGTATTGTATACTGTACAGAACTGTATTGATCCCACACTTGTATGTCAAGGACCTCCGAAGCTTTGTTTGGTCACGTGCTTTTCTGCTCTGCGGCCATTTGTTAGATATGGTGGAGAAAACAAGTGTGACCACCAGATGTCACTAATGTGCATTGTGTTAAAAACTTTTGAGTAGTCTTTTTCGGCTTAAGCCAAGTTGTAAGCCCGATTTGCAAATCGTTGAGCTCGCCGACAGGTCAAGTTGTTATCGCGGGGGATTAGCGGACGATGAACGCTTGCCAATCTGTCAGTATGATGAAAGAGCCAACAACGCAGCGAAAACGCTCGCAGACGCCTCGCTGAGCTCAGAAAAATATCTAGCATGCTTGACATCCAGAGCCGTCGCGCGACTCGAGCTCAGTGATGTCATGAGTACAGCCAATCATAGCAACGCATAGGTTGAGGACACCAGGTAAATCTTAGTTTTTCTTTTCTTTTTTTGCATTTTTTTCTCAGAGCAAATCAATCATCGCGCAAACAGTGTGCAGCAGACGTCCATATATTCACGTGTTGTGTTCTCTTCTTCGCTGGGTATTGGCGCACGTGCTGTTTCGCGTCATTTCTGGTTCGTTTTATTGCGTGGTTTTTCGTGACAAAACGTGGAGTGTAGACAAGATAGAATCGTTGGGTAACAGAGTTGTTGTCAACTCGTTATTTATTTGATTATTTTCAGGATTTAGACCGTACCATAGTACTGAAACAAACAGCTCTCTAGAGTCACATGATTTGCTCTTATCATCCGATCGTGGTTATATCTCTATGTAGTGCGTTGTCAACTCGTGTAGTGAGTTACCTCCTGTTGTGGATCAATCACGTTGTGTTGTGTGAACAGCTCTCCTGATTTTACAGAGAGCAAGTCATGTAGTGATTCAGCCGGACGTTTTAAAATCATTAGTGTGAACTAGGCTTTATTTTGATGAAAGGCTCTGCTTGAGAAAGCCTCAGTGTCCCATCAACAGCTAAAGGTACTTGAATCTGTCCTAACACAACAGGGTTATAGGGACATCTTGTGGACAACACAATACACTGCCTTACTAATACACGCAAAACCATGATGTTTATGAAATCTCATGTCTTACTCGCATTTATCAGGTTAGAGCTGGACGATATAATTACATTTTGCAACCAAATAAAAAAAAAAAATCAGCCAGAGAAATGCCATACGTATAGTGTAGTTTATCCCAAGTTGTGTGTAATTGATCTGAATATTTAGCTTCTGTTGAGCTGCTTTATAATTGATTTATTTCCCAACATTAACACTGTTATTTTCCCGTTATTATCAAAGTAAAGCTGCTCTGAATGAGTCTGTACTCTATAAAGCACTGTAGAAACACAGTAACTCTACACACACACACACACACACACACACACACACACACACACACACACACACACACACACACACACACACACACACACACACACACACACACACACACACACACACACACACACCAATGAACAATAGAGCAAAATACAGGGAGCAATTTTGATCAATATAAAAGCTGACAAATAGGCTATCACATCAACTGGTCAATCATTATAAAATAACTAGAACAGTAAATCATACTAAGGAAAAGACAGTTTCTCCAGTTGTGTTGCTGTTCATATGCTGAACGGTGAATGTGTGTAAATGTTGTTTATATTGGCGGCCACCGGGTGGCGCGAGTGATCCGCGGACAGCGCCTCTGACGTCACGCGGCTCTTTACAGCTTTCCACAATTGCTAAGACACATTTATTAAAACCTTCAGTCTTTTTCTCACAACATTAAACCCAAAACCCAATCTTCAAACTACATTCAGAGAAGATCTGACTCTTCTGATAAAATCAAACAATAGCCTCAAAAGCATTTAATCTGAGCTCAAAATCAAACAATGCTTTTCAGATCATACACACATCAGGCAATATTATAAACACTACAGATCATTCATGAGACACTACATAGAAAAATGGAGAACAGCATCCAGAGCATGAGGTTACAGAAGAAGAGTATCTTGTACACTATTTTTTCCAATTGCTTACTCACATTTTCAAAACTCTCATTTTTTTCTTCCAAAACTCTACACACAATTCCCAAACCTGCGCACACAAAATGCCTCACATGATCCCCTGCAAAATGTAACACTGCATTCAAAATACCATAAACACATGTCAGAATGAAGCATTTGCATCAAATGGCAAACACTACTTTTATAATAGTGCATTTTTTGATATTCCCTGTAAACACTGCTGTTCTGAATCTAAAGCTCGTTGGTCTTTCATACGCTTATATCTATATTTAATACAATATTCTACAGTGACGGTAATCTGCTGAGAGGGGCAACAAGTCACTGTAAACACCAGCGCATTGTAGAAACAGAAAATATTTATTAGGCCGAACATTACTGTTGTGTACAGTATCAAACTACAAAACCATAAACGTATGTAAACCAAAACTATATTCTTTAGAATACAGTAAAGGAGACGAGTTG